GTTAGTGTCTTTGCATGAATGTAAGAATACCAATCTTGTGTAATCTCACCAACCCATTGTACCTTCGTGTGAATAAATTATTATTATATAAGTCGGGGTTCGAACTAGAAACAAGGTCGCAGCTGTAGTTCGCGTGTATTTCGTAACCAAAAATAACAATATTGAAATTTGCAAATAATGAAACATATGCGCCTAATACATTTGTCTTTACAGACGTTGAACTAGCGCGAGCGACAGACCACTACCGCAGGAGCAAGTGGAGAGACCATTGAACACAGGCAGACACACCGGCTACGGGCGCGATAAGCAGGACTTGGCAAGGATGAAGGAAACACTGCTGGGATGTGAGGAGAAGGAGGAGGAGCGCCGCCGCTCAGAGACGGTCATCACCACTCTCAACTACAAACCCATCAGCGACACCCCAGGTAAGGGCTTGACTGCTGACAAAGACCTTTTGTGCCCTCTGTAATGCTTTTTGCGCTACCGCTCACAGGATGAGTATGGGGTGCACAATAAAGTAGCCGGCTCCGGCGGCAACAATCAAAATTAATGGTTGGTAAGGTATTTAAGCAACGCGTCCTCATAATAGCACGTCGCATTTTGACGTGGTATTAGACCATTAAATGATACATTACTGCAAATCGACTTGAGAATGGTCCAGGACGGACCGAAACGTCGTCGTCCCTTCACTTTCTAGTGTGTGGGTTTGGTCAACATTAATGCAAAGCCACTAACATAGGGTGTTTATATCGACCTTGATATAATTGCTGCTTTGCGAAGCCATGTCACAAGACTGTCCCAAAGAGACACTGGGAGATATCTTCATTGGTTAGCAGCAAAGTTTTCCTCTGATGTATGCAGACGATGAGTCACAATAACGTGGCTGAAGTATGTTGACCAGACCACACACTAGAAGTTGAAGGGACGACGACGTTTCGGTCCGTCCTGGACCATTCTCAAGTCGATCCTTTGATATATAACTTTAAGCAGCTCCTCATCAGAATCTCCTACGGGTTGTTAATCAAATACATTTAAAGGTAAATATTTATTTTTGCATTGCACATAACGCTAAATGTCTTGTTTATTTTTAATTGCACAAGGCTTCTAAAATAACCTATATGACCAACTTTTTCAATAGATACTAAATGTGATGGTTTGCAGAGAAGTAACTGATACTTGAATA